ATCACGGTCGCGGGCGCCAGGGGCATGCAGATGAGAAAGGACGAGCTGGCCAAGACGATAGTGGTCACTCGCGTGATCGACGCGGGGGTAGCCGGAAGCGCGATGAACCTGACAGAGGGCGACCCGGTCGGCAGGGGAAGAGCAGGTCGAGGAGAAGGGGGGGGGGAGAGAGGGAGAAGTCGCTGAGGGACGCGCCCGACGAGAAGTTGAAGAGCAGCGGAGAGAGGACTCGGAGCGCCCGCGCCGGCAAATCGAGGAGGAGGAGGTCTGGGAGCGGGAGCCGGGCGGCCCCAGACAACGTGAGCCTGCCCCTCCAGGAGAGGGACAGACGTCGGAGAAGCCGGTCGAGGTCCCATCGGCGCCCCAGGAAAAGTCGAGAGCCGTCGGCCCCTCGGCAATCGAAGCACGACGGGAGCCGCCGCGATGTGAGGGCGAGGAGTCAGCGGACCCCTAGGGCGAACAGCCCGGACGACGAGGACCCGACAGCAGGCCCCCGAGGGCCGAGGAGCGGACGGGAGCGGAGTGGAAGGGCGTCCGATGAGGACCACTACGATGCCGCGGAACACTACGGCGCGCGGCTGCCCCGGAAGATCGCGAAGTCCAGGTGGTCTGACGAAGGGGGGGCGGCCTTGAAAGATCCTTTCGAGGTAAGGTTGATCGATTATCTGTTCAAGGGGGAGGGCGATTTCGGGGCCAGGTTGGTGGCAAACGGTAAATTCGTTATTTTTGAAGCATGCCGCAGCCTCAACGATTACTACCTGGTGTCCTCCCTCTTGTACGCCATTCGTGACAAAGCCGCGCCCGTTCACCTGGGCCTAGACTCCCTCTGCGCCCTCGCAGCCAAGGGGAAGGGCCTCGACCCCCAACCGAAGGACTCCAAGCGCGAGGTGTTTAAGGACGTCGCCCAGAAGATGGTTAGGGCATTATGGGAGATCCACGGGCTGGGGCAGGGCGGAGGCGGAGGGCTCTCACAAGAGGGCCTGGCGAAGATGAAAGCTAAGATGCAGGAGATCGAAGAGGAGAACGCCGCCCTGAAGAAGAAAGGGGGGGGGGGGGGGCGCGCGGGCGGGCGCCGGCGAAGGCGAGGAGGATGGCGAGGAGGAGGAGGAGGTCGATTTGGACGTCGAGCTCGAGCCGTGTTCCCGGGGCACGAAGAAAAAGATCCCGCGGAATTTAGGCGTCGCGTCATTCAAAAAGGGCCATGTCGATGCGAAGATCACGGGCCTGGACCTTGACCCTGAGAAAAAGAAGAAGGCCGAGGAGCTGGGCAAGCGCCTGCAGGACAAGGTGGAGAGCTGGGCGACAAGCAGGATCGAGCAGACGACGTTGGACGAGAGAGTAGGGGAGCTGCTCGTAGAATGGAGCGCCCCCGTAGGCGTTGTCGGCGGGAGCGCGGGTAGGAAAGATCACGAGCATATGTTGCGCTTGCTCGCCACCGCGGTCACGTGCGCAGAGCGACTTGAGGCGGCCGCCGGGGCATGCGTTCCGGGGGCCATTCGGAGAGCCAGCCGACACGGGTCGGCGACTCACTTCCATAGGACGCTGTGTCAGTTTTGCGCTCTCCTGCATAGGGGCATCCGGGGGGCCCCCGGGAAGCCCGGAGTAGGGGGCGTGACGCGGGTGATTTTTTGGGCGTGGGGGAGGTCTATGCTCGGCTTGTTCTCCCGGAGCCGTGCGTTGTGGCAGCGAAACTGGGCGGCCCGATGCATTAGGCTAGGGGTGTCATTCGCAACGTGCACGTGGACGTTTTTCAACATCCCGTGCGGGGTCTATTTAAAATTGCCGCCCACTTGCAATATGGCCTACGTGGGCATGTTCACCCAGAGCATGGCACGCCGCGAGGCGTCTAGGTGTCGCAAGTTTCGGCAGGAGGGTCTCGCGCACGTCGAGCCCGCCATTCGGTGGTGGAGGCGCTCGACATCGTTCTTCGAATTCGCGCCGTTAGTAGTGCAAGAGTGCGCGTGCAAGCTAGATGCCGCAGTCGCAGGGATGCTTTTGCAGCAGGAGTCCCAGCCCGAACTGAACGCACCTCGCGTGCGCAAGTTTTTGGGAAGGGTCTTTCCGGTCAAACTTAGGTCGTCCGTGGCCCGGCCGCCGGGTAGGAAGCTTTGGGCGCGGGCGCGGAGGCTACTCAACCCCAGTTCTTTCATTGGTAGGCCCCCGGGGACGGCGTCGGGCTCTTCCCACGCTGAGGTTTTTAAGGCCATTTATCTCCTGCGATGTTGCCCGCGGCAGTTTTGAGCTAGAAAAGAATTCGTTCCCACAGCGCGTCGGAGGTAGAACTCTACTTGCTGTTCCGGTCCGCAAGTTTTCTCGATGAGCCGCAGAGGGGGGTCGCTCGAAAGAAGGTGGCCGACGCTTTGAAATTTCGGGGCCTCACCGTGCCAACTCAGTCCAAACCTCTGCGGATTGGGGCATTGGCGCATCCCGGATCGACATCGAGGGCGAAACAATTCGTTAGGGGCATGCTAGCCGAGCATCCCGAGGCTGGGATCCCGTTGCACTTGCCCCGGGTAGGAGCTTCAGAGGCGAAGTTGCCAAACATCCAGGACAAAGTGTGGAACTTCAAAGCCTTCGCCGATCGACTCTCGGCAGCGGGGGCCTCAGATGCACAGTGCGTTTGCGGCCGCTTCAAGGGGGTGCTGCCAGACGAGGCGTGGTCGAAGTCTGGCCATTTGGCAGTCCGGGGATTTTTGTTAGTAGGTGTCAGAGTCGGGCTATGGGGGTCTTTACAAAAGGGGTCACAGAAGTTGTACGCAATAGTACATGCAATAGTTCATGCAGGAGACGCGCGTCGTGCGATAATAGCACATCGTCGCTACGCTCGCATTCGTTCGGATCTTGAAAACATGGTGAACATGATAAAACGTTGGTTTCGTGAGCGACGGCGTGGGTTGGGTTCCCTCCCCGCCCCGCCCCCATGTTGTGACATCAAATGCGTTGATGTATTGTCCCCTCCTCCCTCTTCGCGTTTCCTTATCCTCTTCGTTCCCCCTCTTCATCTTCATTCCCTTGCTCCTCCTGTGCTTGTCCCTCCTCCCCCTCCTTTCCCCTTCCCCCCCCCGTTCGGCTGCGGGCCCGACCGCGGCCTCAATCGACGCGCGTTTCGAAACGAGAGCAGGGTGGCGGAGAGGGGGGCGGCGGGGGGAGGGGGGGGCATGGGGGAGGGAGGGGCGGGGGGATGGCGCCGCTCACCTGGGTTCCTTCCTTCTTCCCGCTGGCAAGCCACGAATTGCGAGCTCCCCAGCGCGCCTGAGTGATACGCCCCATTGCCCTGTTTGTAATATATCGAACGTCGTTCGGCATTGTTGTTCCCAGGGGGTGATCGCAACGTGCGGTCTGACAGACTGAGTGGCTGAAGTCGCTGCGCGTTCGTGGTAGTTTGATTGTTCGGCGCCACATGGCGCAGCCCACATCGCAGCCAAGAGTGGTCCACTGAAAGCTTTGGTGGCTGAGGGCGTAACCCATGGCCCAACCCATGGCGCATTTGCGAGTGCAATCATTTGCGCAACCGCCGGCGCTCCCATGACGCGAACAAATGGCGCAACCAATGGCGCAGCTTGTGGCATCGAATCCAACATCGTAGCAGGTTGCGCAACGTGCGGCGCAGTCGGATTGTTTACCGATTGACCGTGCGTGCCTTGAACAAAGGTTCCCAAGGTGGCCCCCGATTCCGTAAATTTGAGATGTCCACGAGGTGGCTCCTGTCCACCTGCTCGGGGGAATATTGTGGCTCCTTGGCGGGCCGTGCGGGGCTCAACTGAACATTCTTGGTGCGCTCTCTGGACACTGGGGCAACCTGCGCAAGAGGGCTTTCACATGACATGTTTTGCGGCCCGCGGAGATCTCGAGACGGCCACGCGTTTCAGACAGCCTTGGAGGCCCCCCATGCCCCGACGGTGCCCAAGGAAACATTGACTACGCTCAAGAGGAAAAACGTTGTATACACACATATTGGCGTCATCTTCGATATGACGCAGGGCTTTCTTTCGCACCGCAGTGCGCGCATCGAAAGTCCAAGGGGCTTTCAACGGAAAGTTCTCACAGTTCCCGCCTGGCGGCCCCAGCGGGCCGCATAAACGACCGACTGGCTTGCTTGAGAAGCCCGTTTTGAGCAATTCCACATTATGTCCGCTGCGGCCCTCTTCGGACCTTTCGGGCCTCTCACGCGGCCCCCGAGATGCTCCATGGCGGCCCCGTAATATCCGAGAGAACCCCCAGAGTGCTTCCCAGGAAGCACGCAGGACGCTTGAGAGGAAACACCTAATGATTCCTTATTCGCAGCCCTCTTGCTGCCATTTTGGGGGCCCCGTCACGGCCCCCACGTCGCGCCTGGGGGCGCAAGGTGGCCCGCCAGAACACGCCCTGGAGTCTTTCCATAAGGCCCCAAGACGGCCCCGATGCGTCATTTATTGAGTTCCCCAACAGCAAGCAAACAAGCAAACACAGCGCACCCCGAACGACAATCTCGCTGGGCCCTCCCAAGGGCCGTCAACATGGCGTGCTACAGTCCCTCCGCTCTCATGCTAACTCTTTCGTTCGGTACTCCTGCTGACTCGGGCGACATGCCGGGCGCGGCCCTTCGAGGCGGGGCCCAGTGGGCGAAACCCTGCAGCACTAGGCATCGATCGAGGCACGCGACCCAGTTTTTTGGAACGCAAGTGGGACGTCTCAGTGCAAGCACTGTCTGGGGAACAGGGGAGGAGGAGGAGCGGGGGAGGCAGTAGAAGCTGGGGGACGCGGCAGATGCGCTCGATCCATGTTCGAGTGACGCAGGGGACATGTCGAACAATATGTTGTTCACTACACGTGTTTTGCCATGGTTCTCTCTTTCCCCCCTTTTCCGCATCGCCCTTCCCGTCCTTGCGTCTGTGGCCCTTTTGCCTCGCAAGCTCTGGTGTTATCTGGTTCACTCTGCGATTGCTTTGCCTTCTGGCATCCGCAGCTATTTTAAGCTCTAGCTTTCTCTGCTCGCGGTGCCCTGCGTCGCTTGCCGGGGTATGGCTCCGAAGATCTCGGCCCAGGATCGCGCGAAGAAATTGCAGGAGAAGGGTATTGCTTTGGAGAGGAAGGCCGAGTACATGCTTGCGGTTGCCAAGTTGAAGGATCATTACGAGCTTGTCGTTGAGATGAAAAAGAGGATGATTAACTTGGGCATTCTGACCGCCTCTGGCGAGGATAATCCTGATTATCGCCCCCCGAAGGCCTTAGGCGTCAAGGAGGAACTTGATGACAAGGCGGGCACCCCCGTCAAGACGGAGGGCGGCGCTGGCAGCAAAGAGGACGATGCCGAAGAGATCGGCAATGTAGTTTTGCACCGGAACTTCGGCATATGGGGGTCAATCCCACCTAAGTATATGAAGTGGTTGCTGTCGCGCGCCGAGCCTGTTTCTCTCAGTCCATTTTCCCTCAAGGCGTTAACGAAACAAGGGGCCAGGGAACCACAGAGAGACCTCATGTTGGAGATCCTCGAAGCGATATCTGGTTTCACTCGGAGCGACAACATCGGCGAGAACAAGCTGCATCTCATCTCTGAGCGGGTCAACCAGGAGAATCAGCAGCGCGGCAGGATCTTGATGAATGTCGCTCCGCCTTTCGATTGGGAGTCTCTTGGGTTCTTTTCAGCCGCACTTGTGAAGGATCAGATTTACGAGTTGCTGGAAAAGTATGCGAATGTGAAGGTCCAGATCGCCCTTGACATCAAAGACGGCTCACCCGTGACCGTCGACATGAACTTCAGCAGGGCGAGGGCTGTATTGGTGTATACGAAGCCTTCCGGCAAGGTTGAGCGGATGAACTGCATGCAGATCTTCGTCGACGCAGGCGAGGGCCAGTCGCTGGGGAATTCGGGCGCCACGATCAATCGCCAGGCTTCGCCGTCGCAGGCGCGCTCGCCGATGACAGCGGCATGCGCACAGGCGACGCCACCCTTATCACCGCACGTTCCTGCGCCGGCCCCTTGCGGCAGGCCGACTGCCAGGAGGGCGGCGCCGTTGGGCGTTGCGGCCTCGTCGCCCCCCCCAGCGAAGATTGCGAGGCTTGGGCTGGCATCGCCATCGATCGAGCCTGCCGCGGCCGCCTGCGATGCGAAGTCGGGGAAGCAGGGCGGCGAGGAGAAGGCAGAGGTGGAGATCGCTGCCCTTCCCGAGCAGGTGGCCGAGGTTGCATCGCCACTAGCTGGCGCCTTTGCCGCCCCAGTGCTTCCACCTGACGGCGTGGACAGAGCCGAGGATCCCACGGTCGAACGCAGCCTGCCCCCCCCGCCCACGTGCTTTTTGAGGCCCCCAGAGCATGCCGCCGAGCCCACGGTTTCTGTTTGTAGACGGAGCCGCCCGATTTGCAATGGGAAACAGTTTTTTGACTAGCGCGCGGCAGTGCGCGCCAGCCTCTGTGCTCGCATGAGCGCTGATTGCCGTGATGTTTGCATTTTTTGGCGGGGGGGGGCCATGGGGGGCTATGTGGAGTCGCGCCCGGCAGTTTGGCAGCCCGAGGACGAGAGCGACGGTGGTGCCCGTCCCGCCGAGCTCTCCGCAAAGGATTCGGCCGCCCTGGGGGCCTTCGACGAGGCATCTTTCGTGCCGCCCAAGGAGGAGGACAAGGGGCAGTGAGGGGCTGTCTCTTTGCCTTGGCACGTCCTGGCCTACGGTCCAGGCTGGGATGTGTCAGTTTTTGCGCAACGCCTCAGGTTCAGTCGGCAGCGGTTCTTACCGCGCTAGCTTCGGTTGCCACCGTTTGGGCTCGGGCACCTCTTAGGGGCATGAGTGTCCGCGGGAGACTCTTGAGGTGCCGAGGCGTAGGTCTAGCTGTCAGCGCCGTGACCAGGGCAGCCCTGTGAGGGCGAAACTTCTGGGGAAAAGGGTCGTCGGCAATCCATTGGGTTTTTTTGGGCGGCCGCCCGCGGCTACGGTTTGGCCGCCCGCCTCTTTGCGCGTTCGCTTCGTTGCTGGTCCATTGCCGCCTCGTTTTCCCCATCATCGCCACCACATGGTCGCCATGATCCTGATGTATATATCCTCCTCTTCGCCGTTCTGCCCCCGCTTTTTCATCCTTGTTCCATCTTATTCGCCCTCATAGTTCCTCCTCCTCCTCCTCGTGGTTTTGCCTCCATCTACACAGGCTACTTTGTGTTCGATGCGCTTCGCGTAGCCCTATCAGCCCATCCAGAAACGATGCCCCAACGAGTTGCCCCGATCAGGGATGTGGAGGAGCATGCTTGGGGGGAAAAGCTGGGGAAGCCGCCGTGCCCCATATGGGGGGGGGATGGAGGAATAATCGGAGGAGGGTGAGGGGGGGGCGAGGGGGACGGGAGGAGGGGCAGGAAGAGGAGGCGGAGGAGGAGACGGAGTAGGAGGCAAAGGAGGAGTTGGAGGAGGAGGAGGGAAAGGAGGAGGAGGAGGAGGAGGAGGCGGATGACGAATAGGAGGGGGAGGACGAGTAGGAGGAGACGGGGCAGGGCGAGGATGAGGAGGATGAGGAAGAGGAGAAGGAGGAGGAGGAGGAGGAGGAGGAGGAGGAGGAACAGGAAGAACAGGACGAGGGTGAGGACGAGGAGGAGGAGGAGGAAAAGGAGGAGGAGGAGGATGCGGAAGAGGAGGAGGAGGAGGAGGAGGAGGAGGAGGAGGAGGAGGCCGAGCAGAAAAGGCCAGAGGTTTTCTGGATATTTCTCGGAAGGTTCCTGGGGTCCTTTTGGGCGTATCGGATGCCTCTTGGCAGCGGGTGTCGTGGGGGCCTCGGGAGAGCCTCTTGGAGCTTGGGGGTTTTCTCGGAAGCCTGTTTGGGGCCTCCTGTGGCCTCTTGAGCGTCTCCTCGGCGCCTCTTGGGGCTCACTTGGGAAGGTTGGGTGTCATCTTGGGACCAAATTGGGGGAACCCGATCTCAGAGGGGCATCTAATCGACGCCCTCCCCCCAAGAGGCAAAACGTAACCCCAAACCTACGTGAGCAACAGTGATGCTCGCGCTCTCGTCGAGACCATCTTGGGGCCCTCAACGACCCGCGAAGCCTCGCGGGCAGGTCCAGCCGGGGTAGGGAAAGAGGGCCCCCCCGAAGGGAAACAAAGGCGGTCGGATGAGGGAACTCGGTAAACAACTCTGGGCCTAGAGAGCTTGCAGGCTATCGGCCACGCGGCGGGGACAGATGGGGACCAGAGCCCCCAGGCGTCAGAAACAGTTCAACATGCACCGAGATAGCATTGCGAATGTACCGGCCGATCCTCGATGTTTGGCTGCGCTGGCCCGTCGGGGTTCAGGGTGAGGATAACGCTTGTTTTATGTGCAGCCGTCGTTGGGTTGCAATTTCGACGTGCCAGCCTATCCTTGAGTTTTGGCGGCGCCTGCCTATCGGGGCCAGGGGTGAGGAAGAAAACGCGGTTCAAATGCAACCGCCTTGGGGGGGCGCGTTGGGCCATGCGCATGGCCGTCCTGTTTTCTGCTTCCCCAGTTCCCAATCGGCCGGATCAGGGAAGAAAAAGATTCACATTTTGTTGCGGCCAGTCTTTGTCCTGATCCGCCCACTGCTTGTGCAGACACGGTGGAGCGGACATATCGCGCCCCCCTCTTCGCCGCGCCATCTACCGTTGGCGTCCAAACCGGTGCCTGATTACTGCGGGGCAGGCGTTTCAGCGGACAGGAATCGTTTTTTTTTTTTTTTTTTTTTTTTTTTTTTTTTTTTTTTTTTTTTTTTTTTTTTTTTTTTTTTTTTTTTTTTTTTTTTTTTTTTCTCTTTTTTTTTCTCTTTTTTTTTCTACGAGGGCCGGGGTCCCACGACGCACGCAAACACTCGCACAGACAGGCCGCGCGCTGGGGGGGGGACACTTTGTTAACCACCTTCCGTCCCCCCGTGCATCGATGCAACCACGGCCAGACTGGGCATTGGCTTCCCCCCAGCCGCGGGCACAGCACGTGCGGGCAATCCCGAGCGAGGGAAAAGAGAAGGAGGCGCAGGAGGAGGAGGAAGAGGAGGAGAAGGAGGAGGTGGAGGAAGACGAGGATTTTGACACCGGCGTCAAGCGCCGCGAAATGCACTGCATAACCACATGTTGTTGAAGGGGGCAGTGACTCGTTCTTGCGAGGTTTTCCCACGCTCCAAAACAGCAGGCACGGGGGGTTGGGGGATGTAGGGGGAGGAGGAGGAGGAAGAAGCGGGACGGAGGGGGCGGAGTGGGCGTCCTCGACCGCGCAAGTTTTCAGGATGCGAGGTGTTTCCCAAGTAGTCGTGGGCGGTGCGGGGCCACGGATTGCGGTGCGATGTGTCGTTACATTTCGGAGACATTTCGGCGCGAGGTGGGCGTGAAGGGTCACGCAAACGTCTCGTCCGACATATCCTGGGCATGGCTTTCGCCGACGCTCGCGATCGCGAGGCCCTGTATCAAGGGCGCCTGCGGCGAACCCCCGCCGCCCCGTGCTTCCGTGGAGACGTTTGTGGCCAAGCTTGGGCCAAGCAAGTGGGCCATGCGTTCCTTGTAGTTCCGCGCCCTCCGCTGTCGAGCTCCCTGCGGGGGCGCTCGGGGGGGAAACCGGCAGACATGCGTGTCCAGGCTTACCTTAGCTGCATTGGTTCACGGTCGATGCGTGCACGTTCACAGATCGAGCATATACGGTCATCAACTGATGGGCCAACATAGATTCGGACGTGCGTGTTTATTTTGAGATATGTTTTGTAGGACATGGGTGTGCGTTGGCAGTCGTCCGAACATGCAATGCCTTCGTTTGTCTTCAGTGTTGTGTCTTTTCGGGCACAATCGTGTGTTACGACCAAATGTTTTTCATGTGCAGGTTGTCGACCATGCATGATCAGCGTGTGCGCGTGGCGACGCAGCATGTTTCAATGTGTGTGTGTGCGTGTGTGCGCCAGGTCGAATTACACCTGCTTGTGCAACCCATGTTTTTAATTGATAATCGAGTTTTTGTGTACGCGTTTGGTTGTTTTGGATATGTGGCATGTCAATCGGAAGTTTGGTTCCGAAGCTGTCGAGCGGGCCTCAGCAATTAGCGCCCTGGGGGCATCCCAAGAGGCACCCACGATGCATGTGGCAGGCGTTTGTCCCGAGGCCAGGGCGCGCTTGCTAACTGGGCCGAGAGCTGCCTGATCCGAGCGGTTGCGTGACGTGCCAAAATATGGGTTCTCCCAGGTTTGCTCAGCTGAAATTCCAATAGCGCGCGGCGTGATCCGCCGGGTGCATGTCCCGATGATTTGTGTTGGTCGATCTGGCCCCATGATGATTTCAAAAGTGTTCCCAAATCGCCCTGGATGATTCAACGCGCCTTCCAGGGCGGCCCCGAAGTAATCCCAAGGCGGACAATTTGGCCCGAGTGCTTCAAATTAGGCCTTCGAAGTGGGTCGCGTCGGTTCCGAGATAACTCAGGATGGTCTTACACCCTGTTCCGGTGCCCCCCCCTGCCGAGGGCCCGTGGGCGAAGTGACAATTATGCCTTGGGCTAACCGCTCGGGATGGACAACCCCGCGTCACCCGAGTATCGAACAATCTGGGCCCCCCCAGGTTCAAAAGGGGGCCAGCGCCAACCGACGCAGGAAAATCGAACGGCCCCCGCGACCTCCCACCCTGCGCGCAGCGGCGCGCTGGCGGATCGACAGTTGTCAGCTGTGGATTCCGCTGGGCGCCATGTGGTTATTGAATCGAAGGCGTGGAAATACGTCGGCATGGCAGATCCGCTGTGTTGTTGGGAATTTCGTCGCTTCGTGCCCGTGTTATTGTACAGGTGGAAACAGGCCAAGCCGAGCAAGGTTTTTCAGGCTTTGAGGTTGGATGTTGCGCAGTTGGCCGACGCGCTGCAGATGCCTGTAGCACGTCGCACGTTCCTGTCCCTGAGAGCAGAAGCGGAGAGGGTGAAGAAGGGAGGACAACCGACACCACCGCAATCACAACCTTTCATCTCACGGCCTCCGGCTCATCCCACCACGTGCCAGGGTTATGGGTCGTAGGCTTCTTGGACGTTTAAGTGGATGTCCCGAGAGGGCTTTCCAGGGCCTGTTGGAGGCAGTTTCGGATTTTTTTGGGGGCCGTTCTGGGGCCTTTCCAGGGGGCATGGCGGCGCGTTTGGATGCTGCTTGGGGCCTCTTGGGTTCCTCTTGGAGCCTCCTGGGGGCATGTTGGGCCAGAGAGCTCGAATCGCCGTTTCGGGCTTCCCCTCTTGGTCCCCAGGTGAGGCCGTCTTGGGACGCTCTTGGACCCTCGGGTCGCCTGGGGCGCCCCCCCGGGGTATTCGTTGGCAGTCTTAGGGTTCTCTTGGGGGGCTCGTCGGCCCTCTAGGAGCAATCTCGGAAGCTTGCTGGGCCGTCTGGGACGCCGTGGTGCCGACGGACCGTGTAGATTAAATCATCATTTCCTGCTGAGAATTTGACGCGGTGTTTGCATCTTGTGGCCCGCTTGGAAGGCCTTTCAGGTTTCGTATCGTCGCGGGGCGTCCCTGGCGCGTCTTGCTGCCGTCTTAAGGCCGTCTTGGACGTGTAGAAAGAACGGATGGGGATCCAGAGCCCCTCGGGCCAGTTTTGGGGTTTGCTCGTCTCGGGGCCCTCAGGGGGCCCGAACAAGTAATGCGACGATGCGCGGGGGAGGGGGCGCGCAACGAACCCGAGGAGAATCAGCAATTTGGTGCCTGGGCCTCGGAAGGTACCCCCAGCATTCGGGGCTGATGTTTCGAGGGCTTCGGCCCCGAACCTGAGGACGTCCCGCCTCGCACGTCAGAGCACGGTGGCGGTTCCGCGGCGAGTATTCTGTCACGACGGAGGCCTTGCTAATGTGGTTGCTATACCATTCGAGCAGTCGGAAGTTGGAGTCGCACAGGGTCCGCGCGCAGGCGATGATCTTGGCGCTGCTGTGCTGTTTCCTAAGCCCCGAGATCCATGCCAATATGGCCTGGGACGACATCTGGTCGGATCAAGTTTGTGCATGTTGCGACGGCGACCTCGGCCATGCCACCTGCGCCCACTTCCGGGCGGCTCCGCCCAGGCCACGACCCGGAAGGGACGGCAACCAGGATTTGGTCGAAAGTATGGTCAAATTTGCTAAGCTCGTTCCCGTCTGCGGTGCCAGTGCCGAGGCTTTGCGGCGACTGCTCCAGTTCATTTCCGCGGCCGTCTATGCCGGGGCATCCGTTGGTGCCAGCGACAATTCGTGCAAGCAGAGGCCCCTCCGCGGCCGGAAGAGGCAGCTTAGGACGGATGAGGATTACAAACACCACGTCATGGTGCAGTTGCCTAAGAAGAGAGCGATCATGGGCGGCAGCATGGCGCTTGCTTGTGACTCCGACATGCGCGACGAGAGCAGGGGCAGGGATTGGTTGTGCCAGCAGGTCAACGAGTACCTCCACTCTGGATGGCACCAGTTGGCCAGTCATGGGCCTCTGCGCCGGCCCATGTCCTTAGTGGAGGATGCTGCGAGGCTGGGCAACCCGAAACAGGAGACAGAGGTGTCCAGCATCTGGATCCCCGAACTGCAGACTGGCAGGTTCCTTCCTGCACAGGCGCCCGAGGTCCAAGCAAGCCCCTTCGTTCCCAAAGCGCTGACGGAACCAAGCCCCGACGCCCCCTCAACAACGGGCGGTCGAAATCAGGGGCTGCGGGTGCGGGCGAAAAGCTGGTCGCGCAATAGTTCGTGACTGTTTGGCTGTCCGAGGTCACTTCTGGGTTGTCTGCGTGCGCGCCGAGCTATTGCATATTTTTCTTCGTATGCAATCGTTTATTTTCTTGCGTGCAATAGTTTGCTCCTATGATGCAATAGTTTGTTGCTGTGATGCAATAGTTTGGCCGTGTGTGTTTTTGCGAGCAATAGTTTGCAATGGTTCGCGCGGCCTGATGCTCTCGGGCGTCTTGGCCATGCAATAGTTCATCCGGCACATGCAATAGTTTGGCTGGGGCACGCAATAGTTTGCAATACTTGGGCGCAATAGTTGGGAGAAGTGACGCACAGCTCAAACCCACAAGCGATTGCACGAACTATTGCGCGAACTATTGCGCCCGCGCCCGGATGACCTCGGCGGCGCGCCCCGCCCGAAACGCCCCGGGGGTTACGGCGGCTTCTCCCGGCCCCCTGCCGCGCGAGGCTTTTGGGCCAGGTCCAAGACTGAGCGCGCCCGTGGTTGTTCGCCTCTTGGGCTTGCGTCTGCGACGCGGGGAATAGGGGGGCTTGCGAGTCGCCGAGGTGCTCCCAGACTTTCGTGGTTCGGACACCAAAGCACGTTCGAAACTCAAGCCCCGTTCTGTGGATTTGATCAGGGACAGGATTCGGGCCTTTCTCGAGAAGAAGAAGGCAGTCGCCAATGGCCGTGGGACTATGACGATAAAGCAAGCACGTTTGGCCAACAAGTATTCTCTCATGGCCACCGACAACGCGCTGAGGGGCGGCCTGGGTTGCAGCGGCCTGTCCGAGTTCAAGCCGTCCCACGTTGTCGGCCGACTTGGCCCCGACGAGGAGAGATACATGGTGCCGCTCGCGTCCTTGCCAGCCCCGTTGCAGGCTGGCGCCTGCAGCAGGGTCCAGAGAAGCTGCGTGAGGAACTTGACGACAGGCGTTCGGCGTCTGGAAGTTGCGTGGGGAAAGCCTCGTCCGAGCTTGCACTCAGTGATTGACATGGGCTCGATCGGTTTCCCTGCAAAGATGCACTTGTATTTCAATCCGAAGAAGGATCGCTGCATCAGAGGTTCTTTGGAGATGGACCCGGCGCACCGCAGGCACGACAATCAATAGTTGGCGATGGGCTCGGCTGGCTTGACTTTTGCACGAGACGAGGTCTTGCTGACTCAGTGTTTGACCCATGCCCCATGGGGATCCATGGCCAATTTTGGAGCTCTTTCTGAAGCCGGCGCGGAGTTCTACGACAATGGGGATTCTCAGTCGGAGCTGTTCTGCCACTTCTACCCTGCGATTGCGTTCCAGTTGCACGACGGCGTCCTTCCGCCGAACTTTAACTCTCCAGAGCATAAGGAGTGGGTTTGGGACTGCTGCCGAGAGGGCTGGATGCTCAAGACCGCAGGGGCGCAGGCCAAAGCGGGCAGGTGGTACCAAGTCTTCGAAAAATCAGCCAGGGGGCTTGCGTGGTGGAAAGTATTCGAGATGTTGCTCTGTTACATCGGCTTGCACCAGGGTTGGCTGAAACATCATAGCGATCACGTCTGCGTCCCCTTAGTTTCTACAGCTGCAGTCTTGGATGCTGCTGCTTCTGCAGGGGCACCCCGCGGTGTGGACGGCGGAGGTGCGCCTGCCGAGCGTCGGCCGGCAGGAGCGCCAGGTGCCCGGTCTGTAAGCCGATCCAATCGGTGCATTGACAAGCTTCTAGCTCGGTGCAAGAACTACTTCCACGTGGCCTACACCATATTCCGCAATGATGCTCTTCGGGCTCTCTGGATACTGATGGGCGCAGTCACCGAACCCCAGAAGAAAGCACACGGCCAGACTCTTGTGCAGTGCGAAACTAGGCAGGGGGGGAGCTTGTGGCTGCAGGACTACGCGGCCGAGGAATACATCCACGAGATCACTGATATCGTTCAGGCTGCCAACGACCGCGAGATCTTGCATCGCGCGCAGGTGTTGTCCGCGGACCCTCGGTGCGACGAGTTCCTCTTGCCGGCGGAGGTTGCTCAAGCTGTGTGTGATCACGTCTGGCAGTGCGGTCTGTCCCTGGCTGGTCACGAGTTGGTATGGCTGCGAAGGTATTCCCACGAAATGCCTGGCATGTTTGCTCTGCTGGTCCAGGATCCGCCCCAGCACATGTGTAATACCTTGGTCGTTGCGCTGTTACGAAGCCACTCCTCGTTGACGATGGCGCCAGCAACGTCTTGCGTTTGTTTTTCCAGGCAGGAGCGCCCGCAGTTTGCAGCCGATGCTTCCACGAAGCCTTCTGGTTGCAAGAGTGGGCCCTTCCATAAAAATCCCCTCAGGACGAACGCCGAATACTAGGCCGCCAGAGGCTTAGCGTTTGAGTTCGTTCTGGCGCAATCCTGTAGGCGAGCGTAGATCGGGCGAGGCCCCCGCCCCCCCGCAGACTGCACGACATGTCGAGGTAGGAATGTTTTAACAGGTTTCGCCAAATGTTGCGCCCGCTGGTGGAATATTCGGCAACGCGCCTCTTGCCACAGGTTGCGCCAAACGTTGCGCCGCTGTTGGGTCCGAGGTTGCGCCACTCCGCGCCCCATGGTTTGCGCCACAGGTCGCGCCCACGAGAGGCGATGTTTAATGGGGGTTGGTTGCTCACAGCGCGCCTCGGCGTCGCCCTGGCCGCCCGCCCAAATCGGCAGAACAAGGCACGCGTGATTTCGACAATTTGGCCCGCCATCTTCTTTTAGGCAGGGGGCGAGCCGCCCGTCCGATAGGGGGGGGCGCGATTTGTCCCCCCGAGTTTTGGCCGCGTTCACAGGGCGCCCCGTTTGCTTCGATTTTGCCGGCGGGTCCAATGCGGACTGCGCCCGAAGATGGTGCGGACGACGATGAGGACGAGGAGGACGAGCATCAATGAGATGAGAGTTTTGCGAACATGGACATGGATGGCAGTGGCAATGTAATCGGTGATGCTGATGACGACGATGATGATTATGATGGCGGTGATGATGATGATGATGATGATGATGATGATGATGATGAGGAGGAGGAGGAGGAGGAGGAGGAGGAGGAGGAGGGGGAGGGGGAGGGGGAGGCGGAGGAGGAACAAGATGATGATGATGATATTCTAGTTGTTGAGAGGGTTGCCTGCAAGGCTTCTGCGCTTCTGTTCCTCTCTGCAGGGTGGGCGCATACGCGATCCGATCGCCGCGGATCGGGGGTAGGCTTGGGCGCCCTGGCCTTGTTTCGGCCTGGTCCTCCGCCTCCCGTCCCTCCTTCTGAAAATCCATCGCCGGGCGTTCCCCCGTCGCGTGCCATAGGGTTGCGTCGATGCTGCGGCCGGCCGCGTGGCTGGATCACATCAGGCATGTAACTTGTCGCCAGCAGGTTTCGTCGCACTTCCTTGAGGGGTGGGCGCGAGCAATTTCAGTAGTGCCACAGACACCAGAGACCAGAGAACACGACTGCGGACCACGACCAACGATTACGACGAGACCCCACATACCGATCACCACGACTAAGGATCACAACCTGGGATCAGAGACGTGAGACCGCTACCAGACGCCTGAGGCCAGAGACTACGATAGAGGCAACGACCGTCAACCACAGACTGGGGATGCCCACGCATAGGAAACACTGGCGCTCCACCCCCCAACCCTGGCACGACGCTGCAAGGACCATGGCCGCACCAACATCATAAATAATCATTTTGCGAGCGTTTTCGGCGCACCCCGGGCCCCCTCGTTGACGCGTGAGGCCGCTTGGGGGGGTCAGTTTTTTCCCCGAGTCTATTGGGGCCATTTTCTTATCTCGCGGCCACTTTTTTCTCCCAGGGGCAATGCGTGACCCCCAGAGTGCAAGCAACGTTTGGGAGACATGAAGGACTTGTGACAGCCCGCAGTCTGGAGGCGGGGGAGGGCCGTGAAACGGCCAGGGCGTTGCAAGCGCGTTTCGGGATTCGCGGCAGGAGTCGACGAGGAACATTGCGCTCCCTCGTTTGCAGCAGGCTCTCACGTGTCTCACTGCGGCCGAGAAGGCAGCTGTGCACAATTCGCACGTGGAGGTTGCTCTGGGCCTTATACCTTGGTCTCGGAGTACGTGGGTTCGCGAAATTCTCGTCGGCCTGGCAGAGGCTGAATTCAAGGACGTGCCCCTTGACATTCTACAGGAACTCAACGATTGGTTGGAGGGGAACCGCTGCAGCGTTTTAGCGGAGAGGTGCTTCAACTATCTGATGGCCTTCGGCCCATTCCGCCATCGCGCCGCGGGTCGCAGGCTTCTAGGATGTTCGCCAAAATGTCGCGGGGGCCTCGCGGAGGCTTGTGGGGGGCAGTTGTGAGGTTTCTTGGTGGCCGTAGTGGGGCCTCTTGGGGCGTCTTGATGGCATTTCGGTGGCACCCTTGCATGTCTTATGGGGGCTCTCAGAGCTTCCTGGGGATACCTTGGGGCAGAGCTCGAATTGCTGGTTCGGGATCCTTGTCTTGGCCCCCAATGTGGGTCGTCTTGGGGTTCTTTGGAGCCGTCAAGGGCGCTTCCTGGGCCGTCTTGGGTCCGAGCCGTCTTGGGGTTCGCTTGGGGGCCTGTTATAAAGGGGTCTCTTGGGCCCGCCCCCGGGCCATCGTGGATGTCTTGGGCCGATCGTTCGGCGATCCTGGGCCCGCTTGCGCTGCCTCGGGGGCTTCTCTGGGTGCTCGCGAGCCGTCTCAGGGCCCCCTTGGGCCGGAAAAATCATGCGCCAATTCCGAGGATGCGCCCGACAAGTCCCGGGGATTTGGCAATGTGGAGCTTCGGCCCGCACTGCACGGCATCCTCAGGAATGGAGGCCGGGGCCCCCGGGGGTAGGCCAAAGATTTGGGGACATCCCAACGCGCGCTTCACGGCGCGGCGGCAGATCTACGCGACCGATGCAGGCATGTTAAGAGCGGCAAAATTGGAGCCAGGAAGAGGTTTCACGCTTTGGCGACGAGCACTTTGCTAGAAGATACGGACAGACCGGACAAGTACATGCCTCCGCCAGCCGAGCGGTATGCAACAGTCGACAAAGATGACGCTGATTTGTACACCGCCAAGAACAATGTCGATTTCTCTTTGGGTGAGTCGTACTTGGAGGATTTCATGAATGAGAGTTTTTCGATGTCGACCTTGAAATTTTCAGTGCGCATGTCGCGGATCACCGCCGCCCCTTTCTTTCGTAGTAGTACGCGTGTCGTTGAGCGCCCAGCCATTGCCAGTCCAAGGTGCCCATGCGTTCCCCGTCGGTCCCCCCGCAGCCGCGGATGTTCGATGGACGCTCTCGCGGGAACATCGGTGGGTGGGTGGGTGGGAGGAAGGAGGGGGCCATCTTGGCCCGTCTGGGGTAATCCAAGCCGTCATGGAGCCATCGTCGCCGCTATTGGAGGCGAGCTGAGGCTCTTCGCGGCCACTTTGGCCATCTTAGCCGCCTGGGTGCTTCCGTGAGAACAAACTGGGGCCACGCGAGCAATCGTGGAGCTATAGTCGGGCCATCTTGGAACTGTTGATGGCTGGAAAGCAGCGTGTGCCACGATGAATTGCAGTCGGCGGGGCGCGCCTGATGCGCCCGGAAAACCACGGGGCGGACAGGGGGGACTCTTAGCTTCGCGCGCGCCAGACGCCCGCGCGACAGGCCCAGAGGGGGGCCAGGTGATCGGGCGGCGCGCGGCCATGGCCGCGCTGATCTGGGGGCGTGGACCAAAAACTTCGTTGACGCGAGTTGATGCCTCTGGGTGGATGCTGGGGGTCGTGGGCGTCTTGCGAACGTCAATTAAGCTTCTCGGAAGCACGGTGGCATCTGGGGCTCCTGCCTGGCGCCTCTCAGTGGCCTCTTCGGGCCTCTTTGGGGGCGTCTCGGGGGCCTCGGGGCCTGCGTGGAGCGCGGCGCGGCAGTGGCGCGCCATGTCGGTGCCTCCAGAAGCCGCCGCGGGGTCCGTGTGGGCCCCTGTAGACAAGGGGCCGTTTTGAAACGACCGGGGGAGCGTCGTCTCCACCGCGAGGCATCCGCTCGACCGAACAGGTGTACATGGCACACTGGCGCAATCTTTTGTTCGACTGCGATCAGGCGGCCCAAGGGCCCTCAAGAGATTCCCAGGGCGTTTCTTTTGTTGGGCCATCTCGGGATATGTCGAGTGCGCGAGCCCCAGCGGCGCCCCCAGGGATTCGATCGTGGCCGCGCGACAAATCCCAGGGGCGCGCCACGGCGCAAGCGGGCCCCCGTCGTCGCCCAAAATCTGCGAGGCAAGATTTTCGATTTGGTATTTTCTGATGTCAGTTCTGCGACGCCCATGGGGCCCGAGGCTGCCCCATTCGGCGCCTCGCGGCGCGGAGGCGGACTTGGCTTCCAACATGGTATGGGAATCTGTGCAGCAATGCCAGGACGATTGGGCCAAACTCGACATGGCGTCTACCATGTCTTTACTGCCGCGGAAATTTCACGTCTTGCACCGGAAGCCCCCCGACTCTTGCTCCATGCTCGTCCTGCACACCCAAGAATACGCCGTGCTCGGCTTGGAGCTGCGCTTTGCGAAGCGAGGGGATCTCTGGGAGGCTGTTTTCGCCAAGAAGAACGGCAATGTTTGCCCACTTGTGCGTGCCATTTTCGATGAGGCTTGGTTGGTTCGGCCGATTCGTGTGCTGCCGCCCTCGGACCCTAGCCCGCAGGGGCCCTCCTTCCATGCCTTTCGGATGATGCTGGATCCGAAGGAGAACGCCACGCCCTTGCTTCAGGCCGCTGCCAAGGATGCCTTCAGAGGTATGAACAACGAGCACATGGTCGACCTGATCCGGGAAATGAAAGTTCCTTATGAGGGTCGAAGGCCGACTCTGGAGATTGATCTTGTGAGGTTGCTGATATCGTGGCGGTTTCCCGCCATGGAGGAACGCGAGATGGCGGATATCGTCAAGAAGCGGACGACGAAAGCCACGCCAGTCTTCACGACTGCCATGACACCCGAGAACTGCAAGGTTGTAGGCGAGGAGGGTAGTGACATGATGCAGGACAGGGAAGGTCAGACGATGAAGGAGCGCGCCGCCAAGTATGTTAACCGCATTCTTGGAGAAGCGCAGGGTCTTGCACCTGCCGGCGCATCGCCTGTCGGCGGTTCGTCGGCAAGCTCGTCGGCTGGGGGTGGGGGGGCAGGGGTTCCTCCAGGTGCCCTTCCTCTTCCGCTTCCAGCAGGGGCCCCGCCTCCCCCGTCGTGGCGTGATTTGCCGTCTTTGCCTGACGGTGCACTGACTCAAGAACAGGCCAAGGCGCACCTCCCTAGGGCCAAGGGGTGCACCATTGCAGTCAACAAGGCCACGAGCTGGGAGGTTAAATATCCTCGCGAGTCCTTCCCCAGATCACATAGTTCGGCGTTTGTTCCTGGGGACTTGGCGAGCTCCGCTGAATCTTTGCGAGTTTGTCTTCTGTGGGCGTGGAGGTGCCATAAAGAGAAGCACCCCGCAGATGTGTGCCCTTGGAATCTAGGTGCGCTGGTGTAGGGGATGTCCATTTCTCTCCCATGTGCGGGGCAGCACTGCGGGAGCAGCAAGCGCGAAGCACAATTGGCCTCATTCTCATCATCGTCTCCATTCGGGCTCGCACCTTCACCATCCATATCGTTGTTTGTTTTGCACGCGTCGCTTTACTCATATTCCAGACGCTTCGCGTCACCCCTCCAGCCCATTCAGAAACAACGCCCGTGCGAGTTAACCTGATCAGAAATGTGGAGGAGCATGCCGTGGAGTAAGGGGACGATGAAGCCGCCGCACCCCAAGTGGGGGAGGATGGGGGGGGTATCGGATGAGGGGGGGGAAGGGGGGGGGAGGGGGAGGGGGGGAGGAGGAGGAGGAGGAGGAGGAGGAGGAGGAGGAGGAGGAGCAGGAGGAGTGAAGGGGGAGGCGGGCGGATGGAAGAGGCAAAGGAGAAGGAGGAGGATAACGGGGAGGAAGGGAAGGAAGAAGAGATGATGGGGAAGAGGAGGATACGTTCAGGGGGTGCTCATACAAAGGAGGGCCGGAGCCGTGCCACTTCCCCTTGCGAAGCGAAATGCGTTAACTTAGCGGGGACCGTGTTGGGTTTCAACTGCGCGGCGCTTCGGGCCTCTTGGATGTCTCGAGAGATTATTGGGGTCCTGTTGGGGCGTTTTGGGGGCCTCTTGGCAGTCCTACTGGCCTCGTGGAAAGTGTTGGGTGTCTCGGGCGGACCTTTTGAGGCCTCTTGGGGGTCTCTCGACGGCATCTCGGGGACCTCCTGGGATCTCTCGGGGCCTCCTGAGTGTCTCCGGGGCTTCCTTCGGAACCGTTTGAAAGCATCGAGGGCCATCTTGGCGCCGTGCTGCAGAAATTTGATCAAAGAAGGGCGCGTTTGATTAGACCCCCCCCTGGAAGCCAAAATGGGCCTGCACCGCATGAAGCTAAAGATCAGCGCCTTCTCGTCGAGGCCATGTTGGGCGCCTCAGCGACCCCCGAACCACACCGTAGGGGGGCGGGGTGGGGGCAGGGATAAACGCTTCCTCGAAGAGGCAAAAACTGAAATTCAAAAAAAAACGTGAAGCCACTCGCGCCGAAAAGGCCCCAAGGTTGGTGATTTTGTTTACAGGGTGCGTTGTTTGATCACGACCGACCGTCATCACAAAAGGCGCGGCCGTCAACAGCGGCCGCAATGAATGTGCCCAAGCGTATTTTCAGACGAGAGTATCCGTGACTCAACAAGTTCTTTTTGGCATGTCAGCAAAGAGGGCAGGTGTGCGAGCGTCACCACCCGCCACATGAGTGTTGCGTCTCTCGGTTGTCCTCGAGCTTGCAGCGGCATCGTGTCGCGTTGCCCCCCTGGGTGTCCAGCACCAGCAGCGAAATTGCATGATGACGGTCTGTTCCGTCTATGGTCAGTTTTCTCCCTCGCCGTGTTCCCTTCTTCTTTTCAATTCGTCGTTATCGTTCTTCCTTGTCCTCCTCTCTTCCTCCCCCCCCCCTCCCCCATCCCCCCCTGATCGCCGTTTCCCGTGGTTTATGTTGGCGACCTTGCGCCTGAATTTTGCAGCGCACTGTTGATCATGGTCGCCACCATGATGGTGCCCAGAATGGACATCGAACGATTGGTTGGGTAGTTTCGTTTTCCGTTTTTGATGTCGACGTTTGGCAGTTGACGCAAGTTTGGGCTGCTATTCTGGCGCCGAAAAACCAGAAGCGAATGTTAGGCGTAGATTGTCCCGCTGGCGCCCCAAATTGGGAACGATTGTGTGGCGGTGAGTCGCCGAGTTGATTCCCAGTAGCTGTCGCGAGCGGCAGCTGGTCGGTCACAAGGCCGACGCCAAACTCGGAAACCAAATAGTTGCGTAGCTCGGAAGTGTCTCGTGCCCAGTAAGTGCTAGCGCGTGGTCGGCGCAAACGGCCCTGCCGTGCATTTTTCTTCCGTTGTTTGATCGTTTTGGCGGCCCCCTCCAATCGTTCGTCATGCATTCGCCGCGCCCGCCTGCGTTGTCGCAAGGCCCGCGTTTTAGTCGGTATGGGGTCTGAACGCAAACCGTTTCATTTTTGTTGCTAGCCGCCCCCGTGTATTCAGAGATCATTTCCTTCATGCGCCCGGTATGTCCAGCGTCGAAGAGCTTAGGCTCGCGCTGCTTTGCGCATCAGCGAATGCGGTGAGAATCTGAGGCGCTCGGAGAATAACGCGTTGAAAGATTACGGGGGGCCGGCGTGGTTATATTAGGCTTCTGAGAAATGTTCCCCATTCGGTAGAGCCCGCGCACATTGGCACTGAGTTCCCAATGCGAAGCTGCTAGAGCGGGCGCAGTCTAATGTCGCGATGGAGGTGGAGGTCGCGGCAGGCGCAAATTAGGAGGCGGAGGGGCACATATGGAATGCGTTGCGAGGTTGGGTCAGACCGCTTTGTGACCAGATTTGGCAGCGTTGTCGCCCTGGGCTGGACACAGCAAAGTAGCGCTTTCCTTTGGCGACGCACTGATATGATTTGCGTTCTGTCGCTATGCCCGGGGGCAGCGCGCATTCACAATGCTTGCCTTAGGGCGCAGTGCCTCCAACGGGATGTGCGTGGGATGTGTTGCTCGTAACATCAGGAGTCCGTGAAGGGTGCTAGGCGCCATGAACCGCAGAATGAACTATTGCGGCTGTGTTTTGCGCCCCCCTTTCGAACGACCCCCATTCCCCGGCATCAAAGGTGGGTTGTCGCAGAGGGGCCGGAGCGTTGCTGCTGCAAACTCCAAGGAGACGATCTTCCCAGGTAGGCGCGCCTTCATCGACCACGCGACGGAGGCGATTCTTGCTTTTTGGAAGGAGAATGTCATCAGCCCGGCTCCTCGGGGCGGGGCTGCAGGACTATCAACTCGCATTTCGGCCTGGGCCCGCGCAGAGCGGGAGATGCACCAGCGATCCCTCGAGAAAGACCGCCACGTCACCGAGGGCGGGGTCAATGAGCTCAAGCGGGCCTACGGGGATCTTGTGCGGCACTGCGAGGATCACCAGTGCACCAGGTCAGTAGGATATTGTCCGAAACTGTACGCGGAGCTGTTCAGGAACACATTTTTCAAGGCCCCCGATGTTTTTAGAGTCGAGAGGGTGTCTCCTGCCGGAGCCGCTCGACAGGTGAAGGCTCTGCTGCCTCGGGGCGCCCGGTCCGCGTGCGCTTGGGCATTCCGGGGGGTAGATTTCGGAAAGCTCGCCACATGTAGGTGCATTCCCAAAGGCAAACACCAATACAGCAAGGCTCGTTGCATCATCGACTTCACCGGGCACCCGCTGAAACGCTTGCACTGGGCTGTCGGGAGAATCGTTAGAGATGTCGCAGAGGAGGTCGTAGGTGAGAAGTCGTTTAATGCAGCCACAACGGTGGAAGCCGCAAGCCGAACTCGCAGGTTGAACTTCGATTTGCAAGCATGGGCGCATCGCTACCCCAACGAGGGCAGAAGTTGGGAAGTAGTGGTTTCCAACGAAGATTTGAAAGGTTTTTTCCCTTCGGTCCCACAGGAGCGCCTCCTGGGCGATGTCGAAGTCATGCTCGGTGAGTACATCAATCGCCGGCCGCATTTGCACGGGGGCCCCATCGTGTTCACCGCGTTTCCACGCGATCCCCGGAGAAAGACGGTTTGCGGGCGGGTTCGAGAACAGGCAGGGCGGCGCGTACTTCTGGCCATGATTTTACTTGTCCTCCGCCACGCCGTCGACACTGCAGTTTTCGAGTGCGCTGGGGCCTTTGTTCGCCAGGTGCGGGGGGCTTTCATAGGTTCCCCGCTGTCGCCAGCATGGTGCGCAATGTCGGTGATGATGCGGGAGCGTTCGTGGCTCACCTCGAACTCGTCTTCCGCGTCGCTTGCATCCTGGACCTGGGCGGGTTCAAGATACGTCGACAATCGCGCGGTCGTGGGGCTCCGGCGTGCTGGCGGGGGCCCGACGTTGACCCCGTCGTCGTTAATCGACCCGAATTTCTATATCGACCCTGTCGTGCTCGAGCCGGAGCCCGCCAACGACTTCGCGGGAGTGCAGCTTATTACAGAGGAGCTTGTAGGGTTAGGAGAGTCGCAATACACTGTAGAAGGGTTCTCCGGCACATCGGTCGATGATGGGGCCCTGCAGTTCCCGGCCCGCCATCGGTGGAGGTGCAGGGGCGGGGCGTCCGGGGGCAGTAGAGCGGTTAAGCTAGCGGGGCTCTTGGGTAGGATGCACCAGGCTGTTCGGCTGAGCTACCTGGTCCCCAGGGCCAGGAGGGCGCTAGTGCAATTGGCTATCGTGTACATTGCGCTCGGGCACGATAGGGGAGACGTTGTCGACGCCCTTCGCGCTGTTACAAAAAGGCACCCTCGAGTTTTAGGGAGCCTTGCCACAGATATGGCTGCCGCCGGCAGCGATTGCCGGGAAATGCACCGCGTAGAGGCTGCGCAATGACCAGGGGCACGCACGAGCATCGAGTGGCGCCACGGCGTTTACCTCGGGCTGGCCGAGGTTTCTTCGGCCGGGCCTTCACACTTTTAAGACTTTTAAGACTTTTAATTGTCGTCGTTTGCTCGCGGGCTTGCCTCCGAGCTCGCGCAAGAGTTGCCGGCGGCCATAATTTAGTAACTGTGCTGGGCCAGCCTTCCTGATAACGTCTACTTCGCGGAGGTGCCTTTACAGTTCATCGCGTTCGTCTCGGAGGTATTTTTGCTTAGCCTTTACCATGCCTTTACTATACCTTTGCCCGGCCTCTCCCAAATCTTTATTCTGATCTTTACATGCCTTTACCAAGCCTTCGACATCAGCTACGTCTTCGAGGCGGCGTAGGAGGGGGGAGCTTCTTTATATAGTCCTTTTTCAGACATTTCCCGATCGTCTTCGCGCAGCTGGCGACGGAGAAAATGGAGCCCCAGGAGTCAGGAGGCCGGGGGGGGGGGATACCGCGGGTCCGGGAGCGAAGCATTAGCATCAGCAGCAGCGGGCGAGCAGGGAAGCATGCCTTTGACACCGCCTCCTACTTCAACGTGGCGCAGATTGGGCTTCGGACGAGGGAG